TAGTTTTATGAGTCAGGAAAGAATGCATAAGAAAGGGGGTGGAGTTGCTATTCTGTTCAATGATTACCTTCAATGCAGGAAGACAGCGTATGGAAACTTTGATTCTTTTGAATATGTGGCCCTTCGGCTGAAATGCTCCTCTCGAGCTCTGTTCCTAAATATCTATAGACCACCCAAATACTGTGCAAGCTTTTTTGATGACTTTACTGAACTGCTGTCTATAGTGTGTATTGACTTTGACTGTCTAGTCATTGTTGGTGATTTTAACATCCATGTTGACAACCCCCAGGACAGAGGGGCTAAAGAACTGTTTTGTGTTCTTGATAGCTATGGACTGACTCAGCATGTGACGGAGCCCACGCACAATAAGGGGCACACTCTGGACTTAATTATCTCAAAGGGTGTGAATATCTCTAAGGTTGTGGTGACTGATGTTGCACTCTCTGACCATTCCTGTGTTTTCTTTGAGAGCTCTATTTCTGTTCACAAAAATGTTCAAAAACAGGTAACCACAAAGCGATATTTAACTGAAAATACTAGGGAAATGTTTACTCAGAATTTCTCTTCCACACTTGCCCCTGCCAACATCTCAGTAAATGAGCTAGTAGATCATTTTAATTCAAAAATTAAAAATGTTATAGATGCCATTGCTCCAACTAGGTTAAAGGAAGTGTCTGTCAAGAAAATATCTCCATGGAGAAAGGCCATGACCGTGAAAACAGAAAAAAGAGAATGTCGAAAAGCTGAACGCAGGTGGCGAAAAACAAATCTCCAGGTTCACTTTGAAATCTATAAAGAGAGACTTGGCCTTTATAATTTGGAATTGAAAAACGCACGACAATCGTTCTTCTCTGACATCATTACCAAAAACAAAAACAACGCACGTGCCTTGTTTGCTACCGTCGACAGACTAACTAACCCCCCAGTGTCAGTAGCCTCTGAATTTCTATCTACCAGGGCGTGCAATGATTTTGCCTCCTTTTTCACTGACAAAATTCAGAAAATCAGACAAGCAGTCAGTGCCTCTGCATCAGGAACAGCAAATGTGTTGTCCCTATCTCCACTTAACATCAATTCAGACATCATGACACAATTCCATCAGATTAATGATAAAAACCTAGAGGACATTATTCAACTTCTGAAATCCTCCTCTTGCTGCCTTGATATTATTCCAACAGGATTTTTCAAAGATGTTTTGCCTTGCATGGCCTCAGATCTACTTCATATAGTAAACAAATCTCTTCACTCAGGTATTTTTCCACAGGCACTGAAAACTGCAGTCATTAAACCGCTCTTAAAAAAGAATAATCTAGATGCTTCAGTAATGAACAATTACAGGCCCATATCAAACCTCCCATTTCTAGGTAAAATCATTGAAAAAGTTGTTTTTCAACAGTTGAGTAATTTCTTGCATTTAAATAACTGTTTTGATGTGTTCCAGTCAGGCTTTCGTCCAAACCACAGCACTGAGACTGCTCTTGTAAAGGTCTTTAATGACATCCACTTAAACACAGACAGTGGCAGAACTTCAGTGTTAGTATTATTAGATCTCAGTGCTGCGTTTGACACTGTTGACCACAGCATATTACTCGACCGACTGGAAAACTGGGTGGGACTTTCGGAAACAGTTCTGAATTGGTTTGAATCCTACTTAAAGCACAGAAACAACTTTGTTTCTATAGGTAAATACACATCTGAGTTGACAAATATGACATGTGGGGTTCCTCAAGGCTCCATCTTGGGGCCTCTTCTCTTTAACATCTACATGCTACCACTGGCTCAGATAATGAAGAACAACAAAATAAGTTACCATAGCTATGCAGATGACACACAAATGTACGTGACAATTTCACCAGGAGACTATGCTCCAATTCAAACACTGAGTAAGTGCATTGAACAAATCAATGACTGGATGTGTCAGAACTTTCTCCAATTAAACAAAGATAAAACTGAGGTAATGGTTTTTGGAGCCAAGTCAGAACGTATAAAAGTTAGCACTGAGCTTCAGTGTGCAATGTTCAAAACAACAGATAAAGCCAGAAATCTAGGTGTAGTCATGGACTCTGACCTGAGTTTCAACAGTCACATTAAAACTGTTACTAAATCAGCCTACTATCACCTAAAGAATATATCTAGGATTAAAAGACTAATGTCACAGCAGGATTTGGAAAAACTTGTCCATGCTTTTATCTTCAGTAGACTCGACTACTGTAATGGTGTCTTCACAGGTCTCACTAAAAAATCTATTAGAAAGCTGCAGCTAATTCAGAACGCTGCTGCTCGAGTCCTCACTAACACTAAGAAAGTGGATCACATCACTCCTGTTCTGAAGTCGTTACACTGGCTTCCTGTGTGTCAAAGAATAGATTTCAAAATACTGCTGCTGGTTTATAAAGCACTGAATGGTTTAGGCCCAAAATACATTTCTGACCTCCTGCTAAATTATGAACCATCCAGATCTCTCAGGTCTTCAGGGACTGGTCAGCTTTCTGTCCCCAGAGTCAGAACTAAACATGGTAAAGCAGCGTTCAGCTATTATGCTCCAAATATCTGGAATAAACTCCCAGAAACCTGCAGGTCCGCTACAACTCTGACTACTTTTAAATCCAGGCTGAAGACTTTTCTTTTTGTCGCTGCTTTTAATTGAACTATTCATATCTTAGACTGCACTGTAACTTTTATCCATGTACTTTTTTTCTTTTAATGTTTAATTGACTGCCATGTATTTTTTTCTTTTAATGTTTATTTTATTAGCTTTTCTTTTTAATGACTGATTTTAAATGCCATTTTCTTAATCTCTTTCATTTTTTGTAAAGCACTTTGAATTGCCTTGTGTTGAAAAGTGCTATATAAATAAACTTGCCTTGCCTTGCCTTGCCTTGCCTAGACATGATGAAGACGATCTGGTGAAGTTCAAACAGAGCATGAGAACGAGGAAGAAAGGTGATTTAAGGGACTTTGAGCGAGGCATGGTTGTTGGTGCCAGATGGGCTGGTCGGAGTATTTCAGAAGCTGCTGATCTACTGGAATTTTCACCCACAATCATCTCTAGGGTTTACAGAGACTGCTCCCAAAAAGGGAAAATATCCAGTGAGTTCTCTGGGAGAAAATACTTGTTAATGCCAGAGGTCAGAGGAGAATGGCCAGACTGGTTTCAAGACGATAGAAAGGCAACAGTAACTCAAATAACCACCAAGGTATGCAGAAGACCATCTGAACCACAACACGTGGAACCTTAAGCAGAGGGGCTACAGCAGCAGAAGACCACACCGCCAACTCCTGTCAGCTACGAATAGGAAACTGAGGCTACAATTCACACAGGCTCACCAACATTGGACAACGGAAGATTGGAAAAATGTTGCCTGGTCTGATGAGTCTTGATTTCTACTGCGGAATTCCGACTGTGTGGTCTGAATTTGGCGTGAACAACATGAGAGCATGGATCCATCATTCCTTGTATCAACGGTTCAGGCTGGTGCTGGTGGTGGTGTAATGGTGAGGGGGATCTTTTCTTGGCATACTTTGGGCCCCTTGGTACCAATTGAGCAACGTTTAAACGCCACAGCCTACCTGAGTATTGTTGCTGACCATGTCCATCCCTTTATAACCACATGGTACTCTTCTTCTGATGGCTACTTCCAGCAGGGTAACACCATGTCACAAAGCTCAAATCATCTCCAACTGGTTTCTTGAACATGACGATGAGTTCACTTTACTCTAATGGCCTCCACAGTCACCAGATCTAAATCCTGTAGAGCACCTTTGGGATGTGGTGGAACGAGAGATTTGCATCATGGATGTGCAGCCGACCAATCTGCCGCAACAGCGTGATGCTATCATATCAATATGGATCAAAATCCATATATGCCACAAAGAAGTAAGGCCGTTCTGAAGGCAAAAGGGGTCCAACTCTGTACTAGCAAGGTGTACCTAATAAAGAGGCCGGTGAGTGTACATAACATGCAGTGTAATAATAGTGCTTATACTCAGCTATATCTTCTTGAGCTCTTTGTGACACCAGAGAACATGTAAATACACATCAGATATATTACATTACAATTCATTTAGCTCACACTTTTATCCAAAGCGACATACAATAAGTGCATCAAACATGAAGATGCAAACTAAGATAAACAACAATCCTGCAGGTACATCAGCTTTCAATACGGCAAATCATTTTAGGAACTTCATTTGAAAAATGTGACCTTTTTTTGTTTGTTCTTTAGATTGTGTCAGTCATAGGCAGTCGAGACAGGTTGGTTATCAGTCAGCGAAATATATATATCTAGACTTTCTGCTATCATGACATCTGTGGCGAAGCAATAAAGAGCTGAATAAACTTCTGTCCAAATCATTTGATTTCCCATTGTGATGACACAGGACGAAAATCAACATATCAGTTTGTATGATTTTGTTTCAGAAAAGTAAGGAAGAAAACCGGATTGAACCCGGAAAGTATCCAAACTGAAAGCCTTCATTATACAATTATTTTGTATTGTAATTATTGGTGCAATGTTAGCAGGTGAACTTATGTAAGCTGACTGTTGCAGCAGAGTTAAAAATTGGAGTCATGAATGCAGTCGCCTTACTGGTAGCTTTCGAGGGTGTGTGGCTGTCAGAGATGGATCACATTCTTTTGGTATTTATGAGCAGCAGTAAAAACAGAACAGAACCAGTTTTATGATGTGTCTGTTAAAACAAACCTGCAGCTTTGCACAGGTAGATCATTATTAATCAAATACATCCTGCAGAGCTCTTAAGATGTGAAACTGTAGTGCAGTAAGAAATGTAATATGTGCTAAAGCAGAAGTATTAAAAAAATGGTGTGGAAATATTAGAAAGCACAAGCACATTCAAATCTTACATAAGTGCATACATAAGAGGGTTGGGGGGGGGGAGGGTGTGGAGCATCGACCCCTCCCATCACCTGCAGCTCTGCCCATTTGAGCACCTTTAAAAGGAGCATCCTCCTGCATCTTTCCTCACTCCTCTGACACACACCTTCATCATCATGGCCCTGATGTACTCCAACCGCAACTCCATTGGCAGCGGCAGCATGAGCGGTGGCGGCTACGGTGGCTTCGGCATGGGGCGAGCATCCACAGGAGGCATGAGCTCCTTCAGCGTGGCGGGAGGAGCAGGAGGTGGGGGTACTCGGGTCTCCCGGTCTAGCATGAGCTACTCTGCAGGCGGCGGTGGCGGCGGTGGCGGCGGTGGCGGCGGTGGCGGCTTCGGCTACGGTAGTGGTGCTGGTGGAGGCGGTGGAGCTTTCTCTTTTGGTAGTGGCGGTGGTGGTGGAGGCGGTGGAGCCTTTGCTTTTGGAGGTGGAGGTGGTGGCGGCGGTGGTGGAGATGTCAGCTTCCTCGGCAACGAGAAGGCCACCATGAACAACCTCAACGACCGCCTGGCCACATACCTGGCCAAGGTGGCGGCGCTGGAGAAGGCCAACGGAGAGCTGGAGCTGAAGATCAGACAGTTTGTGGAGAACAAGGTCGGCCCTAGCACCCGAGACTACAACCCCTTCTACGTCACCATCGCAGAGCTGCAGGGCAAGGTGAGAAAGAGGGGCAGCATGGCAAATTGAGTCCAGTGTGGGGTCTGTGGTTTAAAATCTGGATTTGTTGTCTTAAATGAGCTGAGTTAACAAACATTTTATTCCTAGTAGTAGGACAATGATGTTGGAGAAAATATATATTTTTCAAGATGAAAATAAGAAAATGAACTCGTAATCTTAATTATGGCAGCCTTTAACTTCCGTAAATAATAAGGAGGAATAAAAGATCATGTCCCAATGATAAAATACAAAATCTTACTCTTAAATAAATGCAATATTGAGAAAAAAATGTACTCTATGAAAGACAAAGTGCATGAGTCTACTGAGTTAATTATCTAAAGTTGACAAAGTCCTAATAACAACACAATTATTCTGGGGAAAAAATGCTATATTTTTCTTTCAGAATAACAAGCACAAAATGAATTCATGATCTTGACCATGGCAGTTCTGAACTATCGTAAATCATGAAAATACATAAAAACAAAGTTCTTCTTTTATTCACAAAAGAAAAATCGAACAATAAATAAATGGAATATAGAGAAGAAGAAACATGTAAAAAGCAAGCAATAAAATCTTCTTTGTTTCAATGACAGAACTAATGTCTTGCAAAAACATGTAACCATAAAACCCCAGGATCAGATGTCTTGTTTAACTCACAGCAGCGAATAAAGGAAAGCAGCTGAACCAGAATATGAAGTAATCTGACTCGAGGCGATGACAATGGAATCAGCGCTGCTGTGTGTGTGTGTGTGTGTGTGTGTGTGTGTGTGTGTGTGTGTGTGTGTGTGTGTGTGTGTGTGTGTGTGTGTGTGTGTGGTGTGTGTGTGTGTGTGTGTGTGTGTGTGTGGTGTGTGGTGTGTGTGTGTGTGTGTGTGTGGGTGTGGGTGTGTGTGGGTGTGTGTGTGGGGGGGGGGCTGCCTCGCCTCAGAAACGCCTCAGAAACGGGCACTGACTTGAACAGACTGATATTTCACCTCTGAACCTGACTGTCTTTTTTGTGTGTTCTCAGATCCAGGAAGCCCTCCTGGTTAAAGGCACGGTCCTCCTGAGCATCGACAACGCCCAACTGGCTCAGGATGACTTCAGAATGAAGTCAGTACCTCATTATTTATCTGTACTTATATTTACTTATCCTTGTGTATCATCATTTAAATGTAATTATCTGTGTCTAACTTTATTAACATTTCTTTTTTAGTTACCTTTGTACCTCTCCTGCAACATATGAAACACGAAAAGCACAAATATCAGTCACAAAAAATCAATACAAATTTAAATAACACTGAAAGTGTTTTCCTGTTAAATTAAATATTAAAAAGCAGGATTCTATGATCTGCATTGTGCTCCCTCTGCTGGCAGCTGTGAAGAACGCTGCAGCTGGACTAAATATCACAATACAAAACGTTTTTTTTATAAATGTTTCTATAACCGCTTAAAAAGTTGTTTTACTGTTTTATTTCTGCTATGTTTTTTAAGTTATTTTATGATTTTAATTATTAAAAATACTATTGGTATTATCACTACTTTTCTTATTAATATTATTTCAGTTTTGTTATTATTATAATTACTATTACCATAGTTTTGTAACTTTTTTTATTATTATTATTATTATCAATATAAAACTATTATCTATTTTAATTATTTAATCTTTAAAGGGGACCTATCATGCAAGATGCACTTTTTGATGTATTTTATACATAAATATGTGTCCCCGGTGTGTCAGGGAACTCACGCAGCGTCAGAAAATAAAACCCTCTCTCTTTTCCTCCGTACCCAAATCTCTAAAAACGGGGGAACAACGGAGCTGATCCAGATTTGCGTCCGATATGACGTAATATCTGAAATGTGGACCCACGGCCCTATCAGAAACGTTGCTATCAGAAACAATGCCCGACTGTTTTGGACGTAATATGGTCTGTGTTTACATTAGCATCGCTAACACTCAGAGCTAACCTGTACTGGAGAGCATGTGTGTGAAGAAGCAGGAAATAAAAAGGAACTCACCTTGTGGTATAACCGGCAAGAGAGAAAGCCTTTGAGCTCCATACTGTTTCAGAAATAATCCTTGATAATCCATGATATGGCCTCCCTTGATCTGAGACCTATGCTATTGCCTAAAAATGCCATGATAGGTTTTGATAAACTATCGGTGAGCTGGATGCAATCCTAGCTGGAGGGGAGAGAACAGATGGTGGAGGTAAACGGTACTCTGTCCCCCCCCCCCTCCCAGTGAGCTGTGGTGTTCCACAAGGAAGCATATTAGGTCCGTTACTGTTCTAATTTATGTAAATGACATGTCATCAGCATGTGACTGCAACTTGTTCCTGTTCGCGGACGACTCAGCCCTGCTGGTCTCTGACAGGAACAGGTTGCAGGTTGAAAAAACCCTCAGCTCCGAGCTCGGCAGAATCTGCACCTGGCTCGCCGATAATAAATTATCATTACACCTGGGTAAAACAGAGTCCATTCTCTTCGGTTCGAAACATAATCTCAGCAAATCCGACGACTTCTCAGTTGCAGTGGGCGACATTATTGTCACAAGTAAGAAGGAAATTACATACCTAGGATCTATTCTGGAGGCAAACCTCTCCTGTGATAAAATGGCATCCAATGTAATAAAAAAAGTCAATCAAAGAACTAGATTCCTATACCGGATCTCCTCTCTGGTAAACAAAAACACCCTGAAAACTCTGGCAGGAGCACTCATTCAAGGGTACTATGACTATGCTTGCACGTCATGGTACCATAGCACCTCCAAGGCGCTAAAAATAAAACTTCAAACATCGCAAAATAAACTGGTCAGACTACTGCTTGACCTTTCATCTAGAACCCACCTCACCTCTGCCCACTTTGACAACCTAGGATGGCTTAGAGTAGACGACAGAGTACAGCTACTTGCAATGGGCCTGGTCTACAAGATCCACTACACCTCTATGGTACCCATGTACATGTCAAAATTCTTCCCAAAGGTCAAGGAATACCATGATCATAACACCAGAGGGAGCTCCACAAATCATGTGAAACCCAGATTTGGCACAAAAAAGGGGGAATACACGTTTCGCAATTATGCCACATCAAGGTGGAACGCTCTTCCCACAACTGTAAAGGAAAGTAAAACTATACTTACCTTCAAAACCTCTCTTAAAGAGCACCTTCGGGGAGAGCATTGCAAAACTGGCCCCGGTAATGGTACAAATCTCAACCTGTCGTTCAATGGACAGCTTCCCCCCCCCCCCATCTATGTATATACTCGCATTTTAGACTCTGTTACTAACTGTATATCTGTAGACTTGGTATGTCTTAAATGTCCGGTTAGGATGTATTAGAACGAAATCTAAAATGAAAATTGTAAATAAGCAATCTGTATGTAAAAAAACACCTGTATGTAAATTGTAAATAAGCCATCTGTATGTCAAATATGTCTTATATGTCTTAAATGATATGATGAATTGGAAATGGGGGACCCTGATGTAAACAAGACGAAAGTCTTTCTCTGGTCTGCATCCCCTTAACAATTGTATGTTTTGAGCTGTACTGTACCCAATATACAAGCTGTTAATACACTTTTCAATCAATCAATCAATCAATCAATAGGTGACCTTTAATGTGTGTGAACTTCCATGTTTCTGCCCCTTGAAAACAAAATAGTGTATTTCTTGGGGTATATCACTTATAAGTTATACATTTATTTATATAAAATAATAGTAAGGTGTGTGTACATATATATATATATGTATATAACAAAGCTTTTAAATGATTTATTTTGCTCTCATATGATGGTGCAGGTATGAGAACGAGCTGGTCATGCGTCAGTCTGTGGAGGCGGACATCGCCGGGCTGAAGATGGTGAAGGTTGAACTCAGCGGCGCCATGACGGACCTGAGCATGCAGCTGGACACTCTGAAAGAAGAGCTGGTGTCCATGAAGAGTAACCACGAGGAGGTACTATTAGTGTGCTAACATATAGTTGCCAGCACTGTGAACCAGGAAATGTTGAGTACCCCAAAGTTTATCTTAGAAATGTATTGTACCCCCGGTAATTACAAACTGCCGGATGCTAACTCACGTAATTGGTCAATTTGCACAATCAGCATCAGTTGCGTTAAATAGCATTATAGCCTATAATGCTATTAAACAACAGTTAAAAAATGGCATGGCTGATTTGGACAATTTTGGAGTGGTTTTAGAGGTTATGAGGATGCTGAATGCCTTTCTGACATTTTCATGATCAACAATGGCAGTTTTGACCGGTACAACCTGTATAAATATGGCCACTCTGAAGGTTCAAACTTCCATTTTACACCTTGAAAACATTTCATGGTGTTTCATGTCCACATTCATTTGAATTAACGCAATGAAATGCTAATTGTGCAAAATTGCCCAATACATGCGAGTGAGCATCCGGCAGTTTCTATGTGCTGGGGGACCCGTACTATACATTTCTAACATAAAACGTTGTGTTACTCAACATTTCCAGGTTCACTATAGGACTCTATGAGCTGACAGCTGGACTATATACTTTAACGTCAAAACATTAAATCCTGGTTTAACCTCAGACAGCACCATGATACAAGTCCAGATTTAAGATAATAAGTTAAGATGCTTTCAGGAAAAATCCCTGTAGAAACAGACAGACTATAAATCATTTTGTATTTGTATTAAGCAGGGTCCTGATTCAGATAAAGTACATTTCAATCGTTTGTCAAGTGAGTACTTCCTGTTTGAGTACTTCCTGCCTGTTTACTTGTGTTTCCTCCCCGCGCTGGGAGTTTACTGTATTGTTAAAGACCTGGTGATATCATTTAGTTATTTATTACAAGACGATTCTATGAGTTGGCAAATCGATTAATACTAAATATGAATCTTGCAATGTTCATATGGATAGATAGATCAATTGATCTGAGTCTTTTTACTTTTTAAGGCAAAAGCCTAAAACACAAAATGATTTAGTCTCCAGCAGAACTATATCTTTGTGGAGACTCATTTTAGAAAATAATGATGAAGTTGACCTTTCTCAAATGCTCAGCAATGTCTGATGTGAGTGTGTATGTACCCCCACTCCCCCCCCCCCCCCCCCCCCCCCCCAAGGACCTGATGGCGATGCGTGGCCATATGAGCGGCCAGGTGAACGTGGAGGTGGACGCCGGTCCGCAGGAGGATCTGAACAAAGCGCTGGAAGAGATGCGGGACCAGTACGAGGCCATCAACGCCAAAACCACGCGTGATCTGGAGAGCTGGTACGCTACCAAGGTAAAAACCCTGGTAGAGAAGTGCGAGAACATTTTATTTGGATGGTTTGTGCTGACTTCCTGTGCTCCTCGCAGTCGGAGGCTATCGCCAAGGAGGAGGAGATCACAATCATGAGCATGCAGACCACCAGCACAGAGGTGAAAGAGACCAAGAGTTCGTTCCAGGCTCTGGAGATCCAGCTGCAGTCTCAGATGAGCATGGTGATTATTATTATATTTCTTTTTTTTTATTATTAATAATTAGTAATATTATTATTATTTTATAATTATCATTTTTTTCATTAGTATTTGTATTATTATTGTAATTATTATTAATATAATTATGTTTATGAATATGATTAATATTAATAAAAACATTATTATTATTAGTTATTTATGTATTCATATTATTTGTATATAACTTTTTTTTATTTGTTATTATTCCATACAGTCAATGTTATTATAACAACTATTACAAAATCTATAATTATTTACATTACATTTCGTTTTTTAAATGTATTTGCTGTTTAATAATCTATTGTTATTATTATATATATTTGTTTTTATTATTATTATTAATATTATCATTATTATTATTTTATATAGTTTATGGTCTTTCTAATTACTAGGATTATTATTCATTAAGATGATGGTGATTTTATTTACAATATGTTTTATTATTATTATTTAATATAATTGTTCCTTTGTATTATTATTATTTTACACAGTCTATGATTGTTATAAGTATAATTATTATACAGTCTTTAGTTAGGATAATATAAAGTCTCACACGTGACTTCTAACTCACTGCTTCTCAATAATAAACCAATTTGCATTTTGTCAAATAAAAAATGTTGCAGATAAACTTACTTTTACTTCGGTAAGGGTTTTGAGATTCATTCTGTGACGATGCGTTTTGCAGCTCATGCAAGAACTTTTCCTCCAAACCTTTATTTGCTTATCTGTTTACGGCATATACAGATTAAAAAAAAGGAACACACAGAATGTGGAACTCATTATAGGATTCTTATTTTAGGAGGTGTTCAAGATGAATTAACATGTTTTTTAAACTCACTGTCTCCCCGCAGAAAGCCTCCCTTGAATCGCAGCTGGCTGATATCCAGAACCGCTACTCCATGCAGATGAGCATGTTCCAGAACCAGGTGAGCAGCATGGAGGAGCAGCTCATGCAGCTCAGGGCTGACCTGGAGAGACAGGGACAGGAGTACCAGATGCTGCTGGACATCAAGACCCGCCTGGAGATGGAGATCGCCGAGTACAGGAGGCTGCTGGACGGAGAGACCGCCGGGTAAGAGGAGAAAATCAGCTTGAAATCAAAAATCTAAATCAGTCAGTGATGTATGAACTTCAACACTAAAAAACATTTAACATTTACCGCACAGTGACTTTTACTTTGCGTACTCAAAAAAGTAGCAGATGATTTGCTATATTAGTATAATAATAATAATAATAATACATGGTATTTATATAGCGCTTTTCCTGGTGCTCACTAATGGTGCAACATAATAAGAGAATTAAAATAGGAAAAAATAAAAGCAATTATTTAAAAAAAAACGGATTAATGTAAAAATTATGTAAAGTATTTCTGAATATTTCTAACACTGTGGGGCAATTTTTCTCGTTTAACTTTATCTTTTAAACTTACTGTAACTTTCTGTGCTCGTCTCCCAGGTCCGCCGCTATTTCCTCCTCCGCTCTCTCCTCCTCTCTCTCCTCCTCTCTCTCCTCCTCCTCCGCTCTCTCCTCCTCCTCCTCGAACACTTCGAACACCACGACCACCACCGTCATCACAAAAGTCATCGAGGAGATAATTGAATAGTGATGAAGAGTTTCTCCTTCCTCTTCATCAGCCGCAGCTCCATCCTGACGACAATCCAGCTTGTGTTCATGTGATGGAACATCTTTACTCTGCTTCCACAAATAAAACTAAAGATAATTCAGAGCGTGTCTGAATTTTCTGTAACATAAGATGTAGTTATTATTCAACCTCTAATCTCTAAATCTATGAATCCAGTAATAGGCAGTGGGCGAAAGTAACTAAGTACCTTTGCTTGAATACTTAGTCCTGTTATTACACCAGAATTACACTGTTATACCCACATTACACATTAATACATCCCTACTACACCCATGATACACAATTATTACACCCGTATTGCACCCATATTATAACCATCTAACTATTATTACACTGTTATAAGACCCATACAGAACCCATGTAACACCAATTAGATATATTTAACACTATTACACCCATGTGACGCCATAATTACACCGTTACTAACCCCTATTACACCCATATATCAGTTATTACACCCATATTACAAATTGATACACCCCTATTACACCCGTGATACACCATTATTTCACTCATATTACATTGTTATTAAACCCATATTACACTCATGTAACACATATATTACATTATTATTACACTGTAATCAGACTGTTATTACTGCCCAATTACAGATTAAAACACCCCTATGATGCTATGATTACACCTGTATTAACAACCATATTGTATATGTTACACAATTATTTCAACTATATTACACTGTTATAAGATGCATATAGCATCCATGTAACATCAATATTAGACCTATGGAACACAAATAATACAACCATATTACACCGTAAATACACTTATCGAACCCCTATTACACTGTAATTACACCCATATTACACAGTTATACACCCCTATTACACCCAAGTTACGCCATTATTACACCCGTATGACACCATCATTTTACCCATGTTACACTCATATTCCACTGTTATTAGACCCTTATTACACCCATTTAACACTTATATTACACTGTTTCTACACCACAAATACACTGTTATTACACCCACATTACACATACATACACCCCATCTACACCCATGTTACACCATTATTATATGCATGTTACACTCATATCACACTGTTATTAGACCCATATTACACCAATGTAACACCTATATTACATATAGCACCCAATATTAGACCTATACCACAAATATTACAACCATATAACACCGTAAATAGACTATGAAATCCCTATTACACTGTTATTACACCCATATTACACACTTATACACCCCATTACACCAAAGTTACACCATTATTACACCCGTATTAAACCATTATTTTACCCATGTAACACCTATTTACACTGTTTCTACATCGCATATACACCCCCATTACACATAAATCTACCCCTACTACACCCGTATTACACCCTTATTACATGGCTTAGTTGAATACTTGATTCTGATTGGTCAATTCAGAACACGTGACACATTGTTAATCCAGTAGTACAGACCGCTGTCAAGGATTTATTGACGGTTAAGGACGCTCACATCTGCAGAAGGAAGTCCGGTCGATTTAACTGATACAGTTTGGCCGAAAAGCAAACTGCATGCAGTTTGCCGTTGTACCGTCTGAGAGCAACATGGAGGATTTTAATATGAATTGTAATATACTTGGAGAGCACAGTAATTTGGATGAATGGTTAGTGGCTGATCGAAGAAAATAAAAAGACAACAGGGACAAGAAAACAGCAGAGAAGTAACGGGGCAGAAACCCTCAACACGTTGCTGCGGTCCTTTTTACTCAACGGTCCAGACATCAAACAGCGACACATATTCAGTGTGCAGTTACTTTGGCATTAGGGCAGGGATATCTAGATACTTTCCAAGGTTTGACATCATGAATTGTGCTACTTTTAAAGCAAGCAACGATGTTTTCAAATCTGTAATCAAAAAGCTCCTCAAAAACACTATCGAAGCAGTTCCTGCCGCTGCTATGTTAGTTCAAACAGTAACAACGGACAATTTTTCTTAGCGGATGCATGTCATTTTAAATCAATACAACTATTTTCTAAATCAATACAACTATTTTCTAAATCAATAAAAACATTTTCGAAATCCATAAAAGCATTTCAATTAATATTGGGAGTCATATCGTTACTTTGTTGAGAATGTGGCCTTGTAATAAATGGGATAATGTGCAGCAACTTGGTCATTATGGGGAAAAGAACACCCTTCATGCTGATCAAGATCCCTCCGCTTCACGTCGGGCTCCTGATCTGGGTGTTCTTTTACCTGTGGTTGTGGGCCTCAGAGAATGTTTTTATTTCTGAAGGCCCCCCGCATTCCGGGACTGGAGAACAGGGCGGCTGGCCTCATGTCAAGAGGTGGGCCCCTGCCAGACGAATGGTGGTTATCCCTGGCTCGGCAGGACAATCCACCCTGGGAGAGACACGTTTGCACACGAGCCATGGCCAAGATAGCTGCTCTATCCCTTTCCACCGCAGGTGCAATAGGGGTGTTACCCACTCTGGGCCAACCTCTCTAGGCTTGGCTCCTGAGAGGGACAGGCTGAGACGGGAGGGACTGTCTGACAAAGTTATTCAGACTATCCAGGCAGCAAGAGCAGGATCCACCACAGCCTGTTACAGGACGAAGTGGTTGGGATTCCAGCGATGGTGTGAGGAAGGAGTCTAGAGCCTCTATCATGTACATTGGGCTCTATTCTGTCCTACTTACAGACACTGGTGGACAGGGGGCTGGCTCATTCCACAATTAAGGTGTATGCAGCAGCCATCTCGTCCTGCCATGAGGGATTTGACGGCAGGTCAGCCTTTAGTCAACCACTGATGTCACGGTTTTTGCAGGGGGCCAGTGGTGCGGGCCTCCTCCCCGCAATGGGATCTGCCGTTGGTGCTCGAGGCTCTGGTCACAGAACCATTTGAGCCTCTGGAGCTCTCCTCCCTGAAAGCACTGTCATTTTTTTAACATTTATATTTTATTAAACATTTTCAAAAGACAAAAACACACGGACAAGGACATGGCTCACACACATCACAAGTAGGACAGGACATAACATGAAGGGTGGGGGTAGGGAGATTACAGTGTCAGTTACATTTGATGTATGCATATGGCGTTGTATTTATACATGATTTGCTTCATAATATAGATATACTTCATTGTTTAATAGGTAAATAAATAGATAAATAGTCAAATAAATACATATATGCACATATATGTACATACTGTATACACACACACATATCTTCCTTTTATGATTAATTTACCTATTCATCCATTTCCCATGTAATTCATTTCTTTCATTATTATTACCGTTATTTTTCTGTTTCTTCATAGCTCATTTCTCTTTATTTATATGTATTTATTAATATATATTATAGGGCCGGGACTCGATTAAAAAAATTAATCTAATTAATTAGAGGCTTTGTAATTAATTAATCGAAATTAATCGCATTTTTAATCGCATATAAATATTTGACCTAAGAACAGTGAGAAGCAATTTTTTTCACATGGATTTTAGTATACCATTAGGCGCATTCACACCGCAGTACTTTTCCCACAAAGGTTCATGAGAACTTAGTTCATGAGAACAAATTAAGCTGCTGACGTCACTTCTTCTTCTTCTGCTTTGGGTTTACTGGCAGGCCGCAAACCACTTCACGGCGTATACTGCCGCCCAAAGTCCCCGGCCGGAAGTCCCCGGAGTTGGGGACTGGCTTCAGTAGAAGCTGCTGGGAGTCCCAGCAGCCTTCCGAGTAAATCGCCAGAACGCCGACACCTCCTCATCTCCACCGCTCCCATGTTTTATTTTGTGTTGCCATAAGTTAGTCTCTCTGCGTTTCTGCGCTGGGCTAATGCTAATAATGCTAATGCGAGGATAATAAAATGGCGGCTTCACCAAACTTTTTGGAAGTTTTACGGGGCGTGGTTTGCAATCCGCCCAGCCAATCAGAAATATAGCTATTTTCTCACAAGAGAGCCGTACGTGGGGGTAAAAAGGTTCTCATGAACTAATTTTAGTACCGGCTCTTTTTGGTGTGAACGCGATAAAAGAGGCTAACGTCCACGCTAGCTTCCACGCTAGCTGCTATATGTTTTGCATTGAGGTGATACTTGAGGCTTGATGTGCTGCGGTGATATGCGAATTCCTTTTTGCATAATTTGCACACAACCGTGCTCTTATCAACGCTTCCATCCGTCCGTTTTTTAAAACAACATTTCCCACTGTTGTTCACCGTAGTTTGTTGTTGTCTGAAGTCATGAACGTTAGTTGGTGCTCCAGTATAATCGGTACGCCTGAAACTCATCCAGTGAGAAACGTTCCGCGGTGCAAAAATAAGTGCGATTAAAATGCGTTAATTTTTTTAACGCGTTAATTTTTGTGTAATTAATTAATCTTAATTAACGCGTTAAAGTCCCGGCCCTAATTATTATTGTTGGCAGCCGAGATGGTTTGAGTCCAGGAAAGCCCTTATCTTATCCCAAAGCCTGTTGTCTGGCTTAACCAAATATAACAGGGAGAAAGCAGCTTCTTCCATACTTAAGATGTTTAGGAAGTCCTCCAGCCATCTATTGAAATTGAAGCAGTTGGGCTTTCTGACTTTCCAGTTCATAAGAATGAGGCGTTTAGTTGAAAGGCATAGGGCTATAAGTTTATTTGCAAATGTTGATGTTATGCCATTGAGCGGGGATCCCAGCAAGCATGTAGCTGGAGTTAAGAGTATCTCTATGTTCAGGATCTCAGCGAGAGTATCTCCAACTACGTCCCATAGAGATTTTACAGCCGGACAGACAGGACCAAAGACAATTTAAAAGGGTACCCACTTCCGCACAACCATGCCAGCATAGGCCCGAGAGCGTTTGATCAACCCTGTCTCCTAAAAAGTACGTTCCCACAGAACTAAACTGCATTCTCAATTACGTTTAGCTAGAAACGTATTTTCTCCCACGTTACGTTTGTTATGAACGTATCTCAAATACGTTTATTTTCTATATATCTTCTAGAAACATATCTTCTCCCACGTTACGTTCGTTATGAACGTATCTTAAATACGTTTATTTTCAACATATCTTCTAGAAACGTATTTTCTCCCACGTTACGTTCGTTATGAACGTATCTTAAATACGTTT